CAGTGAATAGAGTCATTCAGAGTTTTCCCCTGAGGGGAATATTCCTGGATAATTGATATTTATAGATCCTTTACCTTTTGGAAATCCTCACAATAGTAACAAATATTAATTATGATACTACAGACTATAATACCCTGGCTTGGTGAGTTGTTATTTTTTAAAGATTTTATTTATTTATTTGAGAGAGAGGGGGCACATGAGCTGGGAGGAAGGACAGAGGAAGAGAGAGAAGCAGACTTCCTTCTGAGCTGTGATCCAGAAACACTGCTAGATCCCAGAACTCTGGGATCATGACCTAAGCCTTAAGCCAAAGGTAGGCACTTATCCTACTGACCCACCCAGGCACCTGAAGAGTTGTTATTTTTTAAATCACAACTCATTTGTACCTAAGAACCTCATATCAACAGTTTTATTCCATTCTTTTAACTAGTTCTCATTGTGTGCCATTGAGTCATTTATTATTTCAACAAAACCTTCTGAATTTAAGGAATTTGTACTTCATTTTTGAAATTAAAAAGTCACAAAGGGGTTGTCATTCACTCATTCATTCATTGGATAAAATAGGTAAATTTCAAAAACTTCTAGTATCTTACTTCTACATTGGAAATTGCTACTCATTTTCTAAACACTCAGAGATGTTGCCCTCATTAGATTTAACTAGAAGCATGAGACATTGTCTCCTGTCCACGATAAACAAACTATTTAAATGGTTTTATATAAATAATCACTCCAACATTTGCAGAACTTTTAAAGAATTAATCTTTAGAATGTAACCAGTGCTCATGTAGGGACTATAGATGAGACAGAACAATTGGAACTATGTATAGAGTTATATATATACTTTTTTTTCTTTTTCTTAGAGAGAGATAGAGAGAATGTGAGTGGGGGAAGGCAGAGAGAGAGAGAGAGAGAGAGAATCTTTAGCATGCTCCATGTCCATGTGCGATGCTCGATCTCATGAGACTGAGATCATGACCTGAGTCGAAATCAAGAGTCAGATGTGGGGGATCCCTTGGTGACTCAGTGGTTTAGTGACTGCCTTTGGCCCAGGGCATGGTCCTGGAGACCCGGGATCGAGTCCCACATCAGGCTCTGCCTGTGTCTTTGCCTCTCTCTCTCTCTCTCTCTCTGTGTGTGTGTGTGTCTCATGAATAAATAAATAAAATCTTTAAAATAAAAAAAAAAGAGTGAGACGCTTAACTGACTGAGCCACCCAGGCACCCCTGGAACAATATTTTGAAGTGACTGAAACGGAAACTGCTTAGCAGGTATTCAACAAAAATATTTATTGAGTGAAGAGAAAATATCTGACAGTATTATAAGCAAATGAATGGGTATTCAGAGTTCCTTATAATGCATACTCCTTGAAGGGCCAAGGTTTCAGATTTTTGCTAGGTTCACTTAATACCAGGGGTTACCAATGGTACTATAGCCAGTATCATTCCTTTTTCTCTTTGACTCATTCATTTATTCACTGATTCACTCACCCAATATTACTGAATAGCTCTTCTTTGCCATGCTGTGTACTAAACATTAGTGACTTAGATCAGGGGTGAAGGTTTTACATTTTGGTAAAAGTTCACTGTGCTTTATCACTCCTTAGTCTTTTAAGTCATGAATAGTAGAAAAGAGTAGCAATCAGTGTGACAGCTTTTAGAGCTGTAACGTGAGTTCACACCATGGCCCTTATAATTAGTAGTTCCGTGGCTTATATAAATCACTTATGAATTAGCCATAATGTTTATAAAATTTCTAATCTAGAACCTTGCATTTAAGACTTCAATCAAAAGAGCCATAATTATTTTATAAAATGGTCCTTGGAATACATTTTAGTTCCACATAAAAGATATTTGATATTACCAAACATTTAAAAAACGTATGAAAAATCTTAAATATATCTTTCGATAATATTAGGGATGAACAGTAATTACATGGAAGAAATAACTAGTTATGCAAACTAATTTAGATATTCTATTAAATTTTTTCAGTTATCTTTAAAGACTATAGCAAACATGAAAGTGTTTGGTTTGCCTGCAATATTCTTTTCACCATAGAAAAAAACACATTACAGACACCACAAGAAAAATATATGTGACAAATGTGGGCTGGTAAAATAAGCAGCCATCTTATGCCCTTCTATAGCTTCACAGAGAGAGACTTTCCCTCCAAAGATACTTATCACAATTCAGAGACAATTAAAAATTAAGAAAAAATAAAAGGCACCATTTACTTTTTCCTCCATCTCCATTTCCTTTACCCACAAAAGATGCCAAAAAGATCTTCAGTTTTAATACTGGCAAACAAGGGTTGTATTAAGAAATATATGCTTATAAAGTAATACTAAATCAAAAATATTTCAGAGTATATCTCACTAAAGCCCCAAATTAGAAAAAAAATTATATATTTAAATGTGCAATTCTTTGTCAACCAGAGAGTTTATGGAGTCTGATCTGTTTTCCTGCCAGACAATCCCACCCTTATGCTCTTAAGCCAACAGAGCAAGATCATTTCATGACTCTGTTTTTCACAGTCTATTCTCTCTTCCAATCATGAATACCCCCTACTTCAATTCCTTTTCCCCTTGAAAATTCCCACTCATCCTTGAAAGCACAGGTCGAACAATATTTGATGAAGCCTTTCCTGAAACCCTTCAGAAAGAGTTCATCATTTTATCCTCTCTATGTGTAAGCACATCCATTCTCTAGCACAGTGAGTATCACATATTTTATCATCACTGAGAGCAAGTCAGCTCAAAATTCCAAGTGTTCATTACTTTGCCTGGCATACAATATGTATTCTATGAATGTTTTTGAATAGATGACTTACATTCTTGATTCCTCTATAACAAGCTCACAAGTACCTCTAGTCACACAAGTTGAACGGCAAACAGACACAGTATAGTTCAAAATGAACAGAATTATTACGGTTTGGATCTGGTTCTTAAATAACTAGGAATATTAAAAGCTACAATTTTACATTTTTTTAGTCCAGCTAAATAATATTGCCTCTTCTCTAATTAAGCTTAGATATGGTGACTGCACTGGGAACTTTAGAAAAGTTTGCTAAAAAAGAAAAAAAAAGGTTTGCTTATATAAAGTGTCCACATTCAGGCAAAGAGAAGGCGCCATTCTGGAGGACATTAAGTCACTTTCAGGAGCACCTGATTCACTTATCATTTCATTCAAAAAACAATAACATATACTTAATATCTGTCTTCACGTTATTTAATTATTTAATGAAATTGTTGTGTTCAAAGGGGTTCTTTGCAAACATTCTTACCCATCATTCACTTTGTGATATGAGAACAAATAGTACAAAATAATAAATTCTCCTTCCCTGCTGGGTATGCAGAATCTACTTTTATGTAAAGGCATAGTACCCCAAATAGCATTATGATAATAAAAAACTAAAATCAAAGGTGTACAGTCATTTGTTATAGTAAGGTTGAGAACTTAATGTGTGTATCATGCAAGTTTTCAAGTTAACTTGATAAACTAATTCATATATATAATATTAAAGTCTATTGTCCCATTAGAGTCCCTTTATGATATTAATAGCTTCTTAAGTTGCAAATATAGGTAAACAGAATTTATAATAATGAAACTCCTAAAGTCTCTTAATGCATTTTTTTAGTTTTAATGTAAATTATCCAACATATCTTCATAGACAAAGCAAGTATAAGTAAATAAACTTATTTAAGCTATAAATAGTGTAGATATTTGAATATGTACATAGATTTTTTTTCCCAAAGTAAAAGTCTGAAATGTGGGAAGAACTTTCCTTAGTATCTTCAAACCAAGTATACTTACTTTTAATGTATTTTCTTAAAAATAGCAATTTTCTACCATTTTTTCCTGGGCCTGTTTTCAAATGAAAAAGGACTCTCAAACGAGAAATTGAAGTATGCTTAATATTTAGGACAGCAGAAACTCATCAAAACTTCACCTATTGAAAAATTTCCCTATTATTTCCTTAGGTTTCAAATACATTAGCAACAGAATATTCCCCCTTGGGAATTTATAAATGGTAAATTTAAAAATTATGTTTCTAAGATTTCTCATACAGTTGTTCGTTTTTGCTTTCAACTAAACAAAACACCCCCCAAATCATGCATTACCAATAGGTTAAAATCTCCTAAAATCTTGCAAGTAGGTACATATTGACACAATCTGATATTTCTCCTTAAAATAGTTCTAAGGACTGAAAATATTTTTTTAACTGTAGAGAATAAAAATGCTTTAAAAAAACCCTCCATAATTAAAAAGAAAGTTTTGATTTGTTGCATTTCTTGCTTAAATTAATTTTAAAAATTCTTTGTTTAGAAAAACAAAATAACAGAATACAATATGTGTATATAAATACACATTTCAATTACTGCCTACATTTTGTAGAGAAACTGAAAACAACTAACTAATCAGTTGATATTTTAATGTGGAGGTAAAATATTTTATGAAAGAGAAAAGTCATTTACTCTATCACCAAATCAGATTGCCTAGACCAACATTCCAAAAATGAGCTAGCTCTGCAGAATCAAGAATGCTGAGTGGCACTATGTGCAAAAGGGAATGTGTAGTCCAATGAAGTTTGGGAAATGCTTGTTTAATAAAGTTAGGTAGGTAATGAAAGCCTTCTCAGAGCATCTAATATGCTAATGTCCGTTCTAAATCACAACATATGTTAGAATAACCATAAGTTTCCAGGACTACTTAATAATTTTTCCCTTCTCTTTTTTTTGCAGAGAGGGGGTAGCATGGGCCATTGGCCAATATACCTGTACAACTACAACTAGGTCTTGATGTATCTTTTTTCTTACAAATATTCTTAATGTGACTTTGTAGCTATATTTAGGTTCCCTAAACCAAAGGTTTTTTGAAGCTTTGACAAAATGACTCCTTTAGCCACTTTCCCTTGTTTAAAACTTGCACTACTCTCTTACATTGGTGTTGTTTCAATGGACATTTCTTTTCTAATCTGCCCCTTTCAGAAAAAGAAGTACCAACCTGAATGCTTCAAGGTACTCTATATCTCCCATTGGGGGATCAAGGCCACCTGTCCATGCAATATTTATATTGTATCCTTCTCCAAGGCCTGTTCCAACCTAGGAAGCAAAAAAAAAAAAAAAAAAAAAACACACACACACACACACAACACAGTGGGTAGAGAAGGGCCCAGGGAAGGAAGCAAAAAGAGAGGAAAACAAACACATGTGAGCTCTTGAAATAAACATCAAACAACATGTCAAATCAGCCCAGCCTTGCTTGACAACCAGTGCTCTGGGTTATGCACTTGTTCTGCACTGGTTCTTGGTCCCATGGGACAATTCAGTAATCTCGTGTAATTTAAAACACCAGCAAAGGACAAGAAAATTAGGGGTAATCATGCAATGCAATTACCTGAAAGATAAAAATAAAAGTGGGGCTCTAAAGAAATAAACCGAACCTCATTTGGGGCTCCACTGCCAGGGAAAAAGTTCCCTTCATCATAGCGATGGAGTGAAATATACAGGATGCTGGGGTCAGCATAAAAGGCCTGCTGTGTACCATTTCCATGGTGAACATCCTACAGGGAAAAGAAAACAGATGACAAATACAGTCATGTTAACTCTGCATGGAGACAACTTTTCTTATTTCTAGTTCCCTTTCTACCCCACCCTCCTTCTCATTTTCTGTCTTCTCACTATGTCCTTCCTTCTTTCTCCTATTTAGTTGCTTCCACACCACCCCCTTTACTTCCTGAACTTTCAGGCAAATTACCCTTTAATGCACTCATTTTTTAAACTGGCTTCTAAAAATCAGGAAACCACAGCGAACATGCCCTGGAGACTCCAGATGAGCAGTCATTGAGAAAGCCCAGTCCTTTGGTACAATTAGATATTTATACACCGGCCCTTTGTACTCTTTGCTTCAGTGATGGAATCTCGCATCCTGTTTTATGGAGGAATTTTATGACTTATTAACTGCCAACAGTTCATAACCCCTCAGGCTTAATTAACTAGCCTCATTGGCCTCTGAAGAAAGACTAATGTTTAAACTACAAACTAGTATTTTGCAGAAGGATCTATGGCTTACAGAGCATTTTCGCAATTCTTGACAGAACACTAAACATACGTGTATGCATTGATTTGCCAAGTCCCACCATTAAGGTCAGAGGCTTTGCAACCAGCTGAGTAAATTGGCCTTCTTGGAGCGTTCAGTTCAGTTAGCAATCCCTCAGCAGTTAGAATCACTTCAAAAGAGACGCCAGATGCAAAAAGGACTTCATACTTTATTTTGGTAAAATCATGACGGCAAGAGTTGAAGACACAGGAGCATGAGCTCATCAGCTATTAAATCATTTGCACCACGCAGAAAGATGGCATAGAGCTTCATGCAATCTTGTCCAATCTACCTAATTTTAATATTATATCATGGCTCTCTTCCCCACCCTCCTTCCTTTTCTCCCCCTTGCCTCGCCCCCCACACCACACTCTCCCTTCCTACCAAAAACAAAAAGCAAAAAACAAAAACAAAAAAACCCTGTATCATCAAAATGAATTAAAAAATTCTTAGGACATTTGTATATGATAATGATTTAACTCTTAACAGTTATTTGCTGTTTCTATTGTCTTATGATATAGACATAAGCAGAAATTGCTAAAAGAAATAAGAAAAAAAGAATAACATTCAGCATTTTTAAAAATGTCGTCACTGAAAGACTTCAAGTGTTTAGAATCTCAACTAATATGTTTCCTAATATCTCCTGAACAAAATAGACAACTCTCAAAAGTAAATAACCTATATATTTGTATTCAAAATACGACTGCTACATGTATAACATAATTAATTTCAAGTTTTGTTAAAAAAAAAGTTTTAGTCACTTGTAACTATATATTTATATTGCACTTTATTTTATATCAGTAAAAACCCTATTAGTTTCAACAATGATTCCTACAACTTTTGCATCAGGCATTACATTAAACAGCTTGTATGAATTATTAACAAGTATATGAGGTATATGATATTATCCCTAATTGAAAAGATAAGATTCAGACAGTTTCAATAATTTACTACGACTATACAGAGAAAAAGTTGCAAGACTAGGTCTTGAATCCATTTCTTACTCCCAAGGCCAAACTCATAACTATTATATGTTAACTTATACTTAATATTCATTACCTCTTTGATCCTCTTAGCAAATCTGTGTGGAGTGGTGGTCATCATTGCTCCTTATTGAGGTTTATATAACTTGTCTTCACTTCAACCTTAAGTCCAGAACTCCCTCACTAAATACCACCAAAACCTCCCTTTGTTGCATTCTGAAAGTGTGCACAGGACTTGCCATCCACAGTGTAGACATACACTAATCATCTCCTCCTCTTATATATTATACACATATCCAAAATCAATTAAGGAATCATAAAATATTGGGGAAGGTATGCCTCCAGAAATATATTCTGGTTCAATGCATACACATATTATCAGGGAAAAAAGAGCTTACTAAAAATATATTCATCCCTGGATTTCTGAATTTCAAAAAAAAAAAAAAAAAAGGAAAGCAGAGATAGCAAAGCTATTTTCCTTTATCTGAACAAAAATGAAACAAACCCAAAATGTCTTTTGAGTTGGCTACTGGATACCTAGAAGATGGACAAACAAAATACTATGAAAAACAACAGTGAAGTAATGTCTGCAATTTTACTCCATGATAGAATTTTTAGTCAGCATTGTAAGAACAATGTGCTCTGGCCCTAAATGGGTCTACACTTTGAAAACCAGAAAAATAATGCTTTGATTACTTTTGTTTTTTTTAGTGATGTTGTAAAAGTTTATTTAAGAAGGTCAAACCAAAAAAAAAAAGGTCAAACAAGATTGTCTTAGATATAAAATCTAAGATATAAATTGTCTTAGATATAAATTATCTTAGATATAAAATCATTTGTTCTTGAAAAATGTGTTGGGTGTCTATTGCATATATTTCTGAATAAGAAATACTGTCTTGTCCACAGTCTAATAAGAGTTCAATAGACATTATACATTAATATACACAAATCTATTATAAAAATACTTGGATAATTCTTGATTTCATATTCATATTCACAAAATACTTAGGAACAAAGATAAATCCAAATATGCCTTTAGTTTTGGGTAACAATTTATAATGTAACCTTGAGAATACTTTTTCAGCTTGCTTTGCTGCATAATATTCCTAAAAATTACTTACTATTCAGGTATAATCTAACGGTTTTCTCTCCATAGCAATAAATATATACTAGACAAATACAAGAAAATTATTGGTGACTGTCAGGAATTACTATAGTAATTAAATTAACTGAATCATTAAATGACTCAAATAGACCTTGTATCTAGGATTTCCTGGGAAATCGAAAAAATCATTTTGATATTTTTACTGGTCAAAAATACACTGTGAAAATTTATTTTCTACTAAGGATTTAGAGCCAATATGTTCTCATTATAATGTTAAAATAGCTTTAAATAAATCATATATTTGACCAGCTAATATTATCACTTATAATTATTTAGTAAAGGCACTTGTAACTATTCTTTTGTCAAATTTGGTGCTTGACTAAAAATGGAATTACCCAGAATCTAGGATATTTGAAGTGACTTTTTAACAAAGAAAGTCTAAAATGTATTATTTTCAACTGAAAATCACATTGCATAAAAGCTACCTGAGTCATGCAGGCAAATCCTACTTCTGGGATGGTTCATGCCCTGAACACAATGAACAGTCTCTTGAGAGTTGAAAAGCAAGTGCACCTGCTCCCTCTCCTCATCAATCCGAATGTTTCTGGAATCTCCCCAGAAGGAGAATTGGAATGAATAAGCTCCACAGATCAACTAGAATCATTTCTGCCCAAAACCCCAATGTCTCTGATTTTGGCTGTGGCCCCAAATAGGAGGTGAATTAGAGCTCTGGCTCTCTATTTACTAGGCATATAAAAATGCTGAAAATAGTTGCTGGACAATGAAGTAGCTTTGCCCTCTGTTGGCCCAAGAATTTGTGGAGCTAGTTCACACTGATTAGCTAAAGTTAGTGACTTCAGGTATGCAGGAATGAAATTCTTCTGCCATGAAGAACCTTCACTTCTCCTTTGCTAACTTGCAGAATAGACCTGTCAGCCGGGGAGAACGGATGTTTCTGCGCCACGTGGCACTTTAAAACTTCCTTCTCGGCAGCTGGAAGAAACAAGGGAATTTCCTCAAAGTATCCCTGCAGCTGCAGAATTTGGAAGACTTGAAAGTAAGAATATGCAGGCTGGTGGTGATCTCAGAGGCAACCCTTTGGACAGAACTTCATATATTTGGAGGATTTGAAACAAAAACTTCTCTACTACAGCCTGTTGGGAAATCCATATCCTTAATGATTGGATAACAGAGCAAATTTATAATCAAAGGCCAGTAAGCTTATAGGATACTCCTTGGAGCTACCAACCAACTTATTTTATAAATCATATTTAATAATCTAGAGCAGTCTCATATTAATATATAAGAATATAAACATTATATACTTAATATAGATACATATTATATATAAATAAAAAACTTTACATATAAATCCTGTGGGGTTTCTAACACAAGCAAAGCATCTCAGTTTTCAGGTTTATTGTGACATTTACTACTTTAGAGTTTGGATATCACAAATGTGCTTTCAAAGCAACTCTTTAACAATTATCACTTATCTTCACATAACCATAAAATGACAGCAGAGAAGATACTTTAGGAAGTAATACTAAAAGATTCCTAAGGATAGAATAATTTACCAATCTCCTTCCTGCATAATTTTGACAAATTTAGAAATCTTAGAAAAATTTTTCCACAAACCTTGGTCTTCATCTGCTATCCTTTCTTCAAGTTCTTGGCTTATCTTTCTAGCAGAAATTATGGTACTAGAACTATATTGAATTACTTTTTAAATTTACTATCTTAGGTATCATGTAAACCTATAATTATCAATAAGGAAATGTCATTTTGTATGTGCAGGGGAATAGAGGTACTGATGTTCTCATTTTTGTAAAATTTTAAGACCTTTTAGACCTTGCTGCTGTAGTATATCTACACCTTCAACACATTTCTTTAATGGTGAACTATGACCTACAGCGAAACTCAAACATATTTGGAAAATACATGGAAAGTTCTTAGCACCAAAGTGCTTGTGGGGAGGCGACGATACAGTATGTGGAAAACATCCATTCCTACTAAGCATTAGAAATGGTTATCAGTCTTTCAGTCCTTTTATCTTCTTTTCAACTCAACTAAGTATTTCTTCACATGGCTTTGTTCATGCTTTCTAAAACCCTTTGGTTTGCTTGCTTAACTGAATCAGAGGGCTGGATGGTGAGGCCACGACTTCCCAATAAGATTTAATTATGAGTGCAGATATGAACAAGATTTAGACTATTAAGCCTTGCACTTCAAAAAAACTTTTAACATATTTTGCCTTTAAATCTTTTATCACCTGCAAAAATTAATTAAGTGCAGATGTAGCAGGTTCGCTTTGGATGCCAGGGTTCATTTCCTGTCTATGCTTTGTCAGACAACCTATTACACCTCCTCGTGAACTAGAGGCAAACCGAAAACGGGGCTCATAAATCACCAGTCAGCTCTCTTTCGCCCTTTCCTGGGTTGGCCTTTTTGTATGGGGCAGATCTCCAGCTCATTATTCATGAATATACTATAGACAACATGCCAAGTGTCATCTGCATTTAAACAAACCATTTGTTAAGCAAATTATAACTCTATTGTGTAAGAATGCATCATGTTAAAATGCAAGACTAATGTAATGCCTCTGACTTTTAATCACTCAAGGTTCCTGCCGGGAGTCATCCCAAACTGGCATACATGATCAGAGATCTTTTCAGAAAGAATGACATGCTGACTTGTTTTAATAATACCACTGTTGCACAACAAGCAACATGATTGCTAACCAGGGGAAGTGGCCAATTGGTTACCAAAGCAACAGCATTCTTTCCAGCACATCTGACTATTTAAAGTCTATATTCTGCAGGGAAAAGTAAATTCAGGTTCTGTTGGGTTATTTTAACTGTGGAAGTATCAATTCATTTAAGGATCATAAAAGTTGCCCTGATCTGCGCCTTCTTCTCATTAAATTGCAGTTAACACCATGAAAGTGAAACGTGAATGTTTATGGTTTCAGAACTGCAATCCTGAATTTAATGAGTTTCCACATTCAAAGGAAACGCACCCTTCAGTTGTTTGCAAGTGCTAAAAGCAAGACAACCTAACACAGAAATAGAAATTCACTCCCTTTTATCTAGAGTCACTGAAAATGCAGCTCTGGCCAGGAATACATACCAGATCTACAATCAATATCTTGCTTATATTTAGTTGGTCTCTCAAGTATTTGGCGGTAATTGCAACTGAATTAAAAAAGCAGAACCCCCTGCGGAATAGAGAAGAACAGAGAAATAAGAAAGCAAATCAGCCAGGAAAACCATTATAAATAATGTTCAGAGCATTTTTTAAAATGCTATATGATCTCTGAAGCCATAAATCTGCTTCTGGGAGTACCTTGCAAGATTTTTCAGTCCATCTGCTAACAATTAGAGGCTTCAGAGACATGCACGGGGCAGGTGACCGCCAGGAACCGTGGCGCTTGGAGATGGGCAACAGTCCCTGGTACTTACATGGCTGTGGATTCTTCAGCATGATGGCCTGGGGGCCTTACAACAGCAAACCCATTCTGTAAAAACAAGACAGGTTTTCAGTGATCAGATATGGTAAGATTGCTTGGATCTCCATGTACTACAGAGCATCAGACATACACGAAAAGATTCAAGTCTATAAGAGGTTTCAGGGCTTGTTTTCTTGATCCCATTGCCATTTCAGAGAATGAACAGAAACAATATATATATATGATCACATATTACCGGATCATGTCTCAAAAAGAAGGCTTCTACAGAGCCAGGGGAAGAATAGGGATTTGGGAGTTGTACCTAGCTGGCAAATATGCATATTAGCTATTATACTAGCATAATTCATTTTCAAGAACAACTTCTTATTTTATGAAAATAACATCCTACAAAGGAAGAAGAAGAAATTCATTCTTGGTGCAAGTTTGGGTCAAAATTTGGAAAGACCAGGGAAGGCCCAAAGTGAAAATTCTTTAGCTGGATTCTTTTAATGGTTATTTCCACTCCATTGTCAGCAAAATGATAAATTTATACTCACACACTCATATACACACAAAAGAGACCCCAGAAAGGTGAAAAAGAGAACAATGGAAAGCCCATATTTCTTCCAGTCTATAAATTTAGCTTGGATGACTGCCAAGACTTGCAACTTTATTGGATTCCCTAAGTCAATTTCTAGCCCACGTTCTGGAATTTTATAAAGAATTCCAGGGCTGAGTAGCAATCAGATCTATCCATGATCAAGGAATGCCTTAACCTCCAGATTAGTTGGAATGCATCACGGAAAGCTGAAGTAACTCCAGCATGAAGGCAAGGAACTATAAATCCTTACAAAGCCAGCATGCTCAGGAAAGTTGGGTTGCTTGACATGAAAAAAAATCATTCATCAGAGGGTTCACACCACCTTTCACTTAACTATGATTCAAGTAACATACTCAAAAGATATTTATTTAATATAGAAACCTAAAACTTTTGAAATAATTTTAATACACTCCAGGGATATTTTTCCAAGTCTTATTACAAGCATAAAGATAATATCATGAAGAATAATCTATTCCCTAGGACTTTAAATATACTCAGATTTTTTTAGAATGTAATGGTAACCAATATACAATGATTAATTTGGCATACATTTTGATGAGCATATACATAATGATAATCTCAGAAGCAAATTACAAGTCAAATAACACAATATTAGTTGTAAATGTAGAAATGGTGGTAAACATATTTCCTATTACAGTTCTTAAATACATACTATTTTTGTCAATAAAAGGTTAATATCAGAGAAACTATTAAAGAACCACACAAGACCAAAGAGATTGAAATTTTAAGATTTTAGACTGAGACTTTGGTGTGCTATAGGAATTCTGGGGATTGATTATTAAGTAAAACTTATGATAAGTGCAATAATATATCCTACTGGGAAAACAACAGGGTGAAAATAACTATATATATATTTAACAATATAATTAGCATGTAATGAATTTCTGTAATAGGATTCACAATAGAATTCACAATTGGTCTTTCACAATTCAGTTAAAACTATTTTTGTAAACTACTATGTTTTACAAGTAAAGGGCATGGATAGACAATACAAAGAAGAAAAAATTCCAGTGATCAGTAACTATAAAAAAAAGTATTTGACTAAATTCGTAATCAAACAAAAGCACATGAAAATCCTAATGGAAACATTTTTCCACCCAGGATATTGGAACTTTTTCAATACTCTATGCTAACAAAGGAATGCTACTTTGTACACTCACAAACACTGTTTAGAAGAAGAGAATTTATTATAACCTTCCTGGAAAGTAATCCATCTCTATATATTTAGAGCCTTTAAAAATATTTACCCTTTGAATTACCAATATACTTAAAAGATTTTTGCCCTAAAGGTGTTACTAACTTTGTAGATAATCATTTATATAAAAAATGTTTTATTTACAATACGAAAAATCAGAATTATGTAAGTTAGCTAATATTAGGAGAATGTTTAAGTGAATTACGGTTTAACTATACCATGGAATATTAGACAGCCATTAAAATTTTGTTATTACAAATACTGAGTGGAACAGAAAGATATCAACTTTGGAAATATTAGTGTTAAAAATAATAGACACAGTAGGAAATATCTGAGTGATAGTATTATATGGGTTATTTTAAATTTATAATTTCATATCTTTTGCAAATGTTTTTACAATAAATATTAATTATTTCATAATCAAAAAATATAAAACAAAGAGAAATTCAAGAGAGAGATTTGAAATGGTCTTATAGGAAGAGCTGTGGTCACAAAGGCAGAAAAATGTTTTAAAGGGTTTTCTGGACAGGAGGTAAAAATATGAACAATGATGAGAAGAAGGGATTTGGGGAAGTACTATTTATGAATACTACATTGTATACTAACTGGGATTTAAATATAAACTTAAAAAATAAAGTATTATACACAAAAAAAGTCAACCTGAATAGCAATGTTAAGGAACAACATGGAAATAAAAATCACATAAAAGTTAGCTAGATTATAGAGGAAAAAAAGTCAAATAGAATTTGATTTCTATTTCCCTCCTCTCTTACAGACATATTCCTTGAGAAAGGGTCTGCTTTTCACTTTATAATCTTCCAAAGTAACTTCCACCATTCTGCTAAACTGTTTCTGAAACTGCTTGATTTGGGGTTGAACATTTTCTTCTTGCAATTACAAATCTTTGCTCAGTCATTATGATTCACCCAACGCTTCCACTTTGTTCTCATTAATGGCAAATACCCCTACATTCTCCATGTCTTTTCTGAGAGCCCTCCTTTCCTTAGCTGAAGCTAGCAGGACCGCTTCTTCCACAATCTGCTCAAGTGGTAGCTGCTTCCTCTCTCATACTACACAAGCCTGCATTCAGGAGAAGACAGAACTGGTGTTCTCCTAGTGTCTCACTGCTGCTTTTGAAAGCCCAATGCTCCCACTCCCCACAATACTTCCTTCTAAAAAAGGACTAGATCACACACAGAGAAAAGATAAACACAGTAAGATGACTGAGACTGAGCCCTGGAGCAGTCTGGCTCCTTTTGCCTCCTGTTACACTAGAGAAAGTGTTAGTCCTCCTCAGATCTATTTTACCACCTGCAGTTATGATCCCCCCTTCTCCTACTTTTCCATGATCATTTACGTTTTTCCCACTAACATTAAATTCATATTAAAGTTCCAAATTAAATATATTTCATTGAGATGTAAATAAGTTCAAGTTTCTACCATATTGAAAATTAAAACGTTATATATATCAACACAAATAATACAAATACATATATATATATATATCCAATGTACTATGTACCTTCATCATTAATCCTACTGATCCCTCCAACTGCTACACTTTTCTTCCCTTTTAGCAAGCAAAATTCTTGAAAGGTGGTCTACCTTGCTGTCTTCTTTTTCCTTTTCCTCACCCCTGCTTCAATTACCTATCTCTAATTTAACTTCACTTCCTTAGTCTATTAAAGAAGTTTTTACTAAAGTCACCAATGGCCTCCATGTCACTAAATCCAAAGACCTTTTTATGCTGTTAGCCTTCAGGGCCCCTGGTCAGCTTTAAACACTATTGGCTACATCTTCCTTTTAAAAACACTCTCGTCTCTTGGCTTCTGTGATTTAATTCTTCCCAGGTTTATTTATCTCTCTTTCCATTTCCTAATCAGTCTTCCTTGAATGTTCATACTCCTCAGCTTGCTCATTAAATAGGAAATTACTCAAGGCCCAGTCTTAGACTTCTCATTTCATACTTACTTCTGAGCCTGTGCCATCACTCTTCTGAATTCAATTACCACCCATGATCAGATACTTCACAGATTTCTATTTCCCAGATAAGCCCTCCATTGAGCATCAGCCCACCTACTCAGTATCTTCACTTAAATATTCACTTGAAAGTTCACTTCAAATTCAATATATCCAAGGTCAAATTCCTAATCTCTCACAGACTTCTCTAACTTACTAATGAAACCATGTTTTATCCAGTCACTCAAGTCAGAGACCAATGAGTTATCCTTAATGGCTCTCTCTCCCCAGCCTTCCTCCATTTCTTTTTAATTCATGACCAATTCCTATTGATTTTGCTTTTAAATATCACTCAAATCTATGTACTTAAATATATATCCACTCGAGCATTTTGCCTTTTGAATTTCTGTCTTTCTCTCCATCACTCCTCCAAAAATTATTAGTGATTTCAATATCTATACATACAGATACTCACTTCAATATCTTTATTTCTCAGTTCTCCGACTCTACATCTTCAATGACTGTCTTCCATTTACAGTCATACTTCTAGACCCTGCCATTACTGGTGAGACATCTCCATAATCTTAATGTCAAACATCCTACTCTCCTATGTTCTATTTTCCAATTAATGCCTCAACTGCACCAGGACTTCCAATCCATTGACCTTATTTAACTTTTGCTATCCATCATTCACCCCTATCACTATGTTCGCTTTCCTCCTTATTTGATTAGACTTTATGGTCCTTCATTGTATTCACTTCTTTGCATATACTTTCAGATATCTTGTCCCTCTTCCCCGCCAATATACTTCCCTGGTGTATTCATCTGCTCAAGTTACCATAACAAAATACCACAGGCTGGATAGACTTAAACAAGAGAAATTTATTTCTCTAGTTCTGGAGGCTGGAAGTTGAGATTAAGGTCTGGCAGGGTTGAGTTTGGGTTGATATCATTCTCAATTTGCAGATGTCTGCCTTTTCCCTAGGGTCCTTATGTGGCCTTTATTCTGAGTGTACACACACAAGGGCATAGAGAGAGAATTCTAGTATCTCTTCCACCTCTACAAGAGCACTAGCCCTATCAGATTAGGGTCCCATCCCTATGACTCTCCCTCATACATAAAGGTCTTGGAATACAGCCATATTAGGAGTTTGGGTTCCACATTACAAGTTTTGGGAGCACATCCAGTCCATAAATACTTCTAGTCACTTTGTCCCTTTATTCTTTCAACACACTCCCCTGAAAAAATTACAAAATGAATTAAATATAACTTATATCTGCTCTGTTCTTACA